TACAGTTACTTAGGACTTCTAATTAATATACTAGAATACTCCGAGCCTTAAATTCTGCAACCACTGTTTAATCTTTATGACCATGACAATTAATATTCTTTATTAATCAAGAATCACTGGATTTGATAAAACGAAATGACAGAATTGCAGTTTAACTTTGTGCTGTTTTTGAATGCGAAACATCTCTCTAAATCATAAACATACTCAATCTGAGCACTGGATGTGCTATGCAACAAAATCAAACAACATGAAAAGACTTGTAGATATTACAAACATATCTTATTCTACATTATATAATTCACTAGCACTCTTTGAGTTCAATGTACTTAATGTTAGGCATCCTTCTTGGAGGAGTGCCATTGTTGGCTCCTGCTGTAATCAATACAGGACAGAGAAGCAGCGTGATTTAGTTAAATTCAGATCTGTACTGCACTCGGAGGTGACTGTCTCTCTTATTGATAATAAAAGGAACTGAAGCATTGAATTGAGAGGTCTTAATTTCTGTGATATTACATAAAATTATTTCCTTTATCTCCTTTTTTTTTTTTTTCTTTCCTTCTGTAACACAGTGTTCCAAGTCTGGAATTTTGTCTTGTTTGGACTAGATTGTTGTCTGAGTTTGTTGTCATTCCTACAAGCAAATTATTTTTATTGTTTGCTCCAGATGATAATTTTTAATTGGCATTGAGGCTACAGAATTGGTATGATACAGGAATTCTGTAAGTATGTTTGTGAAAACATCCTAATTTTCTGATATTGAAAGCACTGAAGAATAGGCAATGCTGAGATTTTCTCAGTGAGCTTTCAAGGAAGGCATGAGCAAAGTTTGTGCAGGCTTCATACATTCTTAATCTCATTTGTAGCCAACTTTCTTACAAGCTAATCATTCCACACTAATGATACATGACTAGCACTGATTTAAAAAACAAACTCTTGAAAGATGATTCACTGTGTCATAGATGCCTGAAATAGTCATTTATTGTTATTTGTCTGACTGTAGAGTTTATGAAAGTAATTAGTATTGCATTTGGCAAGCAAAAGCAAACATCCATTAGCTAAATGACAAAATATATATTTTGACTATCTTTGTCACTTTCACTAAAACTCTATTAACAGTAAGTGCTGAACAGCGTCATAAAGGAGGACACTTCTTTTAGTGTACTCATAATTGGGTGGGAGAACACTGAGTTATTTAAAGAAATAAATTATTGATAGCCTAACCTATCTTTGGAACTAGAAGAGAGAAAAAAAATCCATGTAGTAACCTGTAAACTGCAGATACATGGAGTTATGCTTATGAAGTGACTGATCTGCAGATAATTTCTCGGATCCATGAACAATTGTCATTAAAAAAAAAAAATAATACAATATATCACAAATTTTATGTGATTATTCTTTGTTCTGTAAATTGCCAACTGTATTCAAAATTATATAAAGCCTCCTGCTAAATTCTAAGTTAGAAGGATAACTTATAAAATGATTTTCTAAAAACTGTAAGATTAAACAATTGACTGTAAACATATTAATGTTTTATGTTTTAATCTGAAGCTCATATCTGAGTTATAAGACAGGTTGGAATATGTCTACTTGTGTTACTATCACTTAGAAAACTGCTGAGGAGATGCAACTGATGTTTTTGCTGACATTGCATGGAGCCAACTTTTCAGTGAGATGTCTGCTTTTGTAGAAGTTCAGTTATTTTGAAACATATGTGCACTTAGTAGCAAAGTTAACGAGAAGGATGTTTTCTGTAAGTATTTCTGCTTCAATGTAAGTAATGCAGAACCCTCCAACTAGTCTATAAGGTAAATTTCTGTGGAGGAAATTGGTCAATCAAATGAAATGCTATTGTCTACACACTAGAAGAACAAGTGAAAATGTACAGTTACGAGACACATCTAATCCTCTCCCTCCATTGTAAAGCACTGCAAGGTCAGGAGGTCTAGCCAGCTTCTTCATCAGTGTTCTGAGTGTTCTGAGACACTTCCAAATGACTGGGGACTGAATGCTTCCTCTCATTTATGAAAACATGATTTCAACTCTGATACATTGCACAGAGGAATGCTGCTGCTCACCAAACTTGTATATATACAAGGATGAGACATAAGCATCCTCTGACGAATATCCTCTTATTCTGTAAACACATGGGCTCTCAGAAAGGAGAATATATATAGTATATCTTCTATAGTAAAATTGTGCTTTCAGAATTGTCTGTGATAACATATCAGTTCCAATAGCCTTGTTCACATACAGCTATTTTGTACCTCTTGTAGAACTACAGAGTTCTGCTGTTAGACAAAAAAAAAAGTAGAGAAAGTAACTACTTTTCCATCTCAAGCACCCAGAAAAAAAGAAAAAAAAAAGAAAAAAAAAAAAAAAGATTAAGTACAGTAAAAACACACTCAAAAACAAAATTAAGGAACATATCTTGTAAGTACTGATTACTGAATAGTACTTATGTTTCAGCATTTGTTTTAAAACTTCTCATAGAAAAGATCATCCCCAGAGTTACTAAAGCTTTCAGCGTCTCTAGAAGCAGTAAAAGAGCACTTTTTCTATGCTTCCTCAGTGCACCATTCTAACCAAGAAGGTAAAAACAATTTAAGTAGAAAGGGGAGTCTCTCCTGGACTTCTTATAAAATGGCATAATTCCTGTATAAAGTAATGTGTTCCTTTTCCTATGTGTCTGCTAAAAAAGCATGATTTTGAACAGAAAATTACATAGACTTCAACCGGTGTTCCTATTGAAGCAGATGGTAAAAGCAAGTCTGCCAACCAGCGCTTGGGATGTAGTGTTACAGTTTAATTCATACAGTGCATTGAACTCATTCTTTCATTAACTGTAGCAGTTTTGCATTACTGTGGCTCTACTATTTCATGAACCAAGGTAGTATCTCTAAATGTCACCAGAATGTGTTTATAACAGGCTGCTACTAACTCAAAACCTTTCTTTTTGCATTGTTTTTACTGCACATATAGATCAGACTGTTTCTGGTCCTAGGTTTTAGAGGGGGAATTCAGTCACTCAGTTACAACTTGCTATTGTAGAAAGTATGAGAGAACAGCTTGAGGAAAGCTATCCTCAAGTAGGCAAATTCCAGAAACAGGCTTTGTTCTTCTTTCAGCATGAAAAAACTCATGTAATCTCTAAAACAAATCCTGTAAAGTGATGTAAAGTGAGATACTGCCTCAAATTCACAACGGATATAACATAATAGAAGACATTAAGTTGATTTTGACTGTTTATAGAGAGTTTTTTATATACGTGCAAAATACACTCTATAATATAAGTTCATAGATAAAAATAGATTATATGTGTTCCTATAAGTAAAAATAACTGCTATCTAAACAGATTCCAGCATTAGGCAAGCTGCAGGTACTTGAACATCTATTTTTGGTAATTCCGAAAGTATTTCATTTCCTTAGTTATTGCATTAATGGGTGTTTTCATCCTATTTAGCTTATTTGGAAGTTTAGCAGGGTCAATAGTAGGTCACCATAATCTCTAATAAGCTCATATCTATGACTTTTGAGACGAGACATAATACCACAGGTGAGCTTGCCATATTCTGCATGTTTTACTGTCAGTTATCAAAATGCCTGGTACTGAGCATGACGTTCATTTTAGCTGCATTCATTAGCTGATATCCTACCAAGCAGGGAGGATCACAGTGAGTTCTTAGGAAACATTGTTACTAGCTCACCAGAAATGGCAGCGTTTGTCTTAGAATTTTGTGGCTTTAAGACAAAGGGCCATTCGTTTAATCACTGACCAGAACAAACCCATATTCTTCAGTAAAGAGTAGAGAACTGAGAAAGTTTTTCTCAGGACTGAAAAAGTGTTGTTTTACTCTGTTATTAACAAAAGGCTTAAGGTAGGATCTAACAGTGGACGTCAAGAACATTCTAGAGAAATAAGATGAGTAAAAATCAAATCTCTTTCTCCGAAATGTCACGACAAAACTTTATCTGTGCACTAACCCAAAGGCACCCTGCCTGGCAAAATTTCATTTAGGGGTTGTTAACCCTTTCCAATAAGGTTCATCTCTGTTCACTGCCCTCTTGCATACCATCTCATAACACACATATTCTTTTTACTCTTACTTTTCTCCATATGTGACACTCAGATCTCAGATACTACTGCTGAGAAATTTCTGTTCGCTAAGTAACTTCCTAAGCTACGCTACCACCTCTGCCTTTGTGTGTGAACATAGTTATGTCTGTGCTCAGTAATTTCAAAGACTCGTGTAGTTTTTGCCTCCAGCCCTGTTCAACTGTAGATGTATAAAGCATAGTATAAAACTGTGACAAAAAAGTAGTATTTCCTATGAACATTTTTCTAGCTGCCAATAATCTGCAGCTCTTTCATTTTAGGAACTTAGTAGATTTATATTTAATACTGTCAAAATACTTTTCTCTGTGCTTCCAGAACCTTTATAAACTTAAAAGTTTTTGAGATCTTGCAACAAAGTTCCTCATAGTATTACATTCTTGTTGTTTGAACCTACCATCCAGTGCTTTCTGTAATCTAGATTAAGAATATTTACTTTCTGTAAATAAGATTATTACTACTTTCTCCCTTTATATCTTATGACTGGACTGGGTAAACTGAGTGATAAGTCTGAGATTTTTTTGGCATTCTTCTTTCTATCCCTCCAGTAAGAGAATTATTACCTTAGTCTGGGTACCTTCATTGGTTCTCTTCAAATTCAAATGACTTTTTCACTGAGACTTCCTCCATCTATTTCTCCTGTGTTTTCGCATGATATGTTTCCTTCCTAATTGTGAGAATGAGACCCTCTCCCATGCATGCACATTCTATTTCCAAATCCAGTGTATCAGGGCTCCAGCAGTACTCAGTGCTGAGTGGTATTTGCATTGTAAGTATGTTATTATTTTAATTTCAACATGTGATTTCCACAATGCCTATTTTATCACCATGTACAAAAGTGAGAAAAGTCAATATATATAATAAAAACAGAAGGATTTTGGTCACTTACCAAGTGAAGATAAGACACAGTAAAGTGGATATTAAAATGAGGACTTGGTTAAACATTGCAGACTGTGTACGTTGGATGGCTCTGTGAAGATCATTCTGCATTAATGGAAAATAGCTGTTATTTTTGGCTTTGAATTAATGAAGCATGAGCTGATTCTATAGAATTACATAGAGTCCTAATAAAATTCACTCATTCAAATCCACTTAAAATTTGCTGATCATGTGGAAGGGTGCAAAAGAACCAGCTGTGATTCAGTGATTGTTTAACTAGTTCTTTGTTCATCCTGGCACAATTCTGATACTACTGCAAGCTGCCTTAAAGTTTATCTGTTCATATCTAGCTTATAAATTACAGGCTGTGAAGACTAATTAAGGCATAGCAGTTGAGTTCCCTGTAATTGCATGTGAATGCGTAAGTAGCTAAAAAACTAGCCATTGTAACTTTCCCTCCTAATGGGCACTGCAACAATTTATACTAATTTGAGATTTCACTTCATTTTTTTTTTTTTCTAATTTTGATGGAGAGAGTAGCTTTAGTAATGCTTGACCATTTGTGTACTATAACTACAGATCTGGTTAGCTCGCTAGAAAAGTTGGACAGAGAACTGCAATGCCAAAATCCCAGTTAAAGTAATATATTAAAAAATAGAAAATACAAATTAGTTCTTTTCTTTATCATACTTACAATCATATTCTCCAAAGCATGCTTTGCTAGCCAACAGTTTAAAAAAACAGGAATAAACAGGTTTCTTAGGACTGGCCAGAAAATCTGAACAAATTAAAAATGGAAAATGAACAAATTAATTAAAAGGCTTCTATTCAAGAAAATAGCAGCAATGAAGTACTCAGGAAAAATATATCTTTATGAACTGCATGCAAGACAAAATGATTAAATACAATATATAGAGTCAATATAGAGTCACAAATACAGACAAATAGATATTCTTTGATTTTTATGTCTGACTGTTTTATCTTATTGATTGTGTTATAATTCGAGTTAGGGATCTGTTGGTTGTTTTGGTGGGGATTTTTTTTGCCTTTTTTGGGGAAAAAAAAATGATACGCACTATTTCATTTAAGTAAAAATCTGCCTTGTTGTTGTTGGCTAATTTCAGTTCCTACGAGCACAATTCTTTCATCCACACAGAATTCACTTGTACCTCAGTGAAGAGTATTAGTGCAAATGTAAAAGTGTAATATGTATTAATTCAAATAGTTTTACCGTAATGATGAAAGGGACAGCGTTTATTATTTCCAGCAGGAAGGGTATTCGCAGAATTTGTTCCCAGATATTTCCCTTCAAAGAAAAAGAAAAAACAATAAAAAGCATGTCATAGTAAGTTTACCTATGCATCTGGGGAGGAATATATAAGATAATCAAATGCCAAATACATTTATCTAAATAATTGAATTTAATGAAAAGCATTTGTCCTACAGATTTAAACACGTGTTAAATGTGAATATAGAAAACAGGATACTTTGGCCTAACTATTTTTTCTTTCTGTTTATTATAATTTACCTCACACATATACTGTTCAAATCTATATTTTTACTACAACAGATCCTTGCGTCCACATGACCACATATTTTCATACTGTGGCCTAGTTAGTAAAACAGCAAAGAATGAAAAATTCTAATTGCATTAACTAGTCAACTCATTATGTCAGCTAATGAAGAGCTTCATTAAATTAAGTTTCTAATTTTTTCGAAGAGTAATTTCTGTTTCCTCGTATTGCATTTTTAGGTACCTTGGAATCCTACACAGAGATCATTTGGTTTTTTTATTCTTCCAACATTGGTTTACTTTAATTTTTGCATGCACGCTTACACATAGGTAAGGAGATAAGGTTCTTTTCCTAACAAATTTATTTTTAATAATTCTAGTTTTTGCTGGAATCCTCACGCAGCACAACCTGCTGGTGAGTTCTGTCTGCAGCTGTTTTCTTTCTGCTATTTGGTTTTTTTCTGACACCTTAAATCTCTAAAATCCTACATTGTCATACTTTAGCTTTTGGTTGTTTTAAAGTTTTTCTCACTTTAATACTTATTATTTAAGACTGTCTTAAAAACTAGAGACGAAATTCCATTGTAGTATAAGAATTGTAGAGATATATGTGCAAAGCACGTGCCCTACTCAGAAAATTTTATATTGAATCAACTGTTGTGATTATCTTCATGCACAGCTAACTGTCCTATGGTTCATATTGACATTTAGTATGAATAATGAGCTGCTCTGCTTGCACTTCTTATAAAAATTTCATGTCAGAATATACAAGATCAAAATTCTGTATTTTTGTCTCAAACACTTCAATACGTTTCAGGGCCTGCTTTTTCTTGATCTTACACAAAATTAGATGTCTTCCCACGTAATTGAACGGAAGTGGTACGGGTTTCTTGATCTGCTTACCACTAGCTATAGAGTAGGAAAAATACTGTTTTTTTCCCACATCTGAGCAGTAACTGTAGTAATTAGATGTTTAGATGAAGATTATAAATTTAAGAAAGAAGGTAATTAAAACTGAGTGTCTTACAGGTATACTAACTGTATATACTGTATATCAGTAGTCCATCATAGATAAGGGAACAATGCAGCCTATATAGTATTGCAGTGATTTGCCACTACAGAATCATTATATTTTCAGTTTCATCAATAAATTAATGTTTCCTGTTAAAATGACCATCTGATATAGTAACTGAAAATTAAATCCAATCTGTATTGTAAATAACATTCTTTCTCTATTTCTAATTTTTCCCTTTTATATCTGGATGCCATTGTAGCTACAGGCAGGGATTTTTGTCTTCTATGTAATTGTCTTCATAATTGGTGGGAGTTAGACATACTTGAATAATCTGTAATATTTTGTATGATAACCAGCCCTGTAAAGAGAAAATTGTGAGAATAAAGAGAAAAGAGAAATTGTGAGACTGTAAGCCAAATTTTTATTGTTGGAACAATAAAATGAAAATAATCCACTGTTAAAATGTGTACTAATAGCAAGGAATCATAAGGAATATTTCAGAAAACTGGCACTTTCTTAGCATCTGTCTTGTTAGGGGCTGCATCCCAGCAGAGGCATGTTAGAGATGCTGTACTGAGTGAAAAAAGCAGCATATGCTACAGCTTTGGATACAGTGGAGATAGGAATCAGGCAACTGAAAGAACTTACCTTGTAGCTAAGATAACTCAGCAATAGTGTTTCAAAGAGACTTATTAAAGCCACTGAAACCTTAAGTGAAGAGAAAAAAAACAATTTACATTAATACCATTTTCTAAAGAATATGATATAAAAGATCATATTGAAAAGGAAATGCTATGATTTTCCCTGCATCTTCTGAATTCATCTCAGCTAACAGCATTTAGCATGAAACTTAAATAGTATTGTTTTTCTGACTGAAGTGTAGCCTGTGACTTGAGTCCCGTAGGTCTTTTCCAGACACAATTTTCCAGAGAGCCTGCAGTGTGGCATTTCCATGGCTTTTAGGTATTCCAGCAGTCAGCCAGACTGTTGCTCAAGTTTCAGTTGTCTGTTCATGAAAACTATCAAGATCCTTTCAAAAGACAGAGATAGGAAGCAGCAGAAACAAATAACAGAAGCTAGACAATTCTTTGCTTCTCTGTAAAGATGTAAAAAATGTGTAGAAAAACATTTTTCTAACTGTGTATAATCGAGAAATTTTAAAACACATTAATCATTATTATTTTAATTTTTGAATTCAACTGATTTTTTTCTATATAGTATATTATATAATATAAAATATTTAAATAGTCAAATATCAAAATTGTAAAAATTTTACTTAAAACTATTACATGTAGTAAATAACCACAAAAATTACTTTAATACTTTGCACAACAAATATTTGGATTTTAATGGATATTACAGGAATAGTCTATCAAGAATATGTACAATAGCAACTGGATCTGAAATAAAATAAGTTGCTGGAATTTTAATTCTGAATTAATGCTCACTACTAAGAATCTAATGCTCACTAATTCAGAAGAGTGCACCATTTGCAAATATAATATCCTTACCTAAAATTAAAACTAATGCTACAAAGCAGAAAATTGTTTAAGTATGCCACCAAAATATAATGCCAGTTTTCCAAATAAGTAGCAAAGCTTTATATAAAATTACATTGTACCTGAAATAAAAAGAAGTATCTTTTTTCAAGTATCGTATATATCCTACTGTGAATGCATTTATATATATGTATATGTATACAAAGCCACATGTATAAATTCCTATGTTTATTAAATCCAAATATTAGAATAAGTTTCTAATCATAACTTAATATGGATAAAGATGTGGAGCAACGCTGAAATCATTCTTCCCCTTCCTCAGTTACCAACACAGTAATCCTATGAGCACTTTGCATTCCTTACAAAGAAAGGCCAATTGCACCTGACTTTCTGCATTAGGTTTTAATATCACTTGACTGTAGTGCTGTCCATGAGAAAAATGCCCACACTAAGGTGAGCATTTCTAAGGGCTAATGGGATGTGTTTTATAATATACACTTCTAAACATCCGGCCTTCTATATCATGAAGTAATCTTAGCTTTTTTATGGATTTGACATGAAAGTAAAGGAAGTACATGATAAAAAAAATACTAGTCATAAGAAATCATGAAATTTAAACTCTTCGCTGTAGAAAATATTTATTAGACTACTCAACAGAGCTTGATAATTCTACAAGTAAAAACTGTTCAAATTCCACAATATTTTGCTACAAACTTTCATACTTTATAAATATATGATAAAGACATACAATTTAAACTAGGTAGCTGAGATCAGCTTATCTTTCCTTTATGGTTTTGTTGTGTTTGTTAATCAAGTAGATTTCTTTAATTTTTCCATATATCATTTAATATCATCAAAATGCTGTAAATCAATATTGCAGGTAGTAAAATTGGCCATTTACTTATTACCTGTAATCCCCATAAAGGCAAACTTCGATTCACCCAAATAATAGGAGACCTGTTCATTGCAACACAAGAACAAACATGGAATTTAAATAAATCAAAAGAAAAATAGAAAAAAGAATTGTACGTATCAATGGAAATTACAGCAGTCTTATATTTAAAAAAAAATAATAATAAGTAGTAAAGATTTAAAATCAGTAGATATCTACTGAGTATTAGCAATTTTTCTTTCTGTTATAGAGTCAATCACTAAATTCACATGGGAGTAATCCAGTACCTCGTGACACCAAAATGTTTTATTGGCTTCAGTGGCTGCTAGATCATCCCCCATGATTCTAGGAAGACTAAAGCAGTTTGAGATTTTGATTCTAGAGATGCAGAGGAGCCATTGTTTGTAGCAGGAAAGAGAAACTTGACCGTTCTTTTGTTTAATTTTTTTTTTTTTTCCTGTGTAATGATATAAATGGCATCTATATAATAAGAACAACATATCTTGGAAAAATACCATGTTGTTTTAATATTTACTAAACCCAATGATACTTGATAGAGTGCTGCTAGAATCTGGTACCCTCAGTGGCACAGTAAATTACTGTTATTTACTGCTAGTCATAATTTTTTTCTAAATAATAAGGGTGTCTATTTTTTTTATTTCAGCAAGATGTATAGACATTATGGGAATTCAGAGCTTACAACAGCATGCAATCTAGCAAGTCTGTTACATAATCAAGAGGAATAATTAGAATTTTAAAGGCGGTTTTGAATATCAATGAAGTTGAAAGTAACTGATGGGTTTTATAGAAATGTCACCATGATATATTAAAATATCACCATTCCAGACAAAGTTGATTTGTCTTCCTGTCCCAGCCTCCCTCACACAATTATGTGGATTTTTTGTTTGCTTTTTTAAATGAGGAACTCACCAATCAATTGTTCCGGGTGTGTAATTTTGATTGTAACAATCCCGGTTTAATTCCTTGCTGATAGTTGTCATCACATCAGTGCAAAGTCCATTTTCATTAGCAAATGCACATGGGAACACAATCATAAAAACATACAGGGGAAAGGCATATTAGTTACACTATTAACTGTAAAATTTTATAAAATTCATGCAATAGTTTGAAACACTAGATGATGAATATAAATATTTTTAAAAGTAAAATAGTTTTTTTGAATATAGTTCTGGATGTGTTCTGTATCCATAGAAAAATACTGTAAAGCACTTCAGGTTACATTTTTTAAGATTTATTTTCAAACATGGTCTGATTTGAAAAAAAAAAAAACTCAAAGTATACTTTCAAAAGCTGAACCAATAACAGTATATATTGAAGATCTAGAGATACTAGAAGCCATATCACAAAGCTAAGTTGGGCTTAGCTTTAATACTTGGGCCATATCACAAAACTAAGTAGAAAGACCAAATATACTTGTCATACTTTCAACAGCAAAGACTGCATCATGCTACACTTTGTCTTCTCTTGTGAGGATGTAAGCTGGGTTGCAAAACTAATTAGTGTAAGAAACTGGTGACCTTGATATAAAAAAAAAATAGAGCTGTTCTGTGCATGTGATGTTATTTTACCTTGAATTGCTGGTACAAATCCTCCTTTCAAAAAGTCATGCAAAGATGTGGAAATTTTTGTGTAAATTTCCTTGTTTGTCCCTGGCACCTTTTCTATGAGTGAAGTGGGACTTCCTACACAATTTTGTGCTCACAGTTCTTCCCAGAAATGATTTTGGTCTTCTGTTAATTAACTTGGACTTCAAAGAATGCTTGCTTCTGATATTGAGATCCAGGAGATTCATGTAAGGACATCTGTGCAGCTCAGCAGTAGGTAAACTGGCAGGTCAGCCAAAAAAGAAAGGGAATCTAATAGCTGCATTCTTACAGGCTATGAATAAGAGAAATGCTAAATGGTATGCATTAATAAGGACATTTTATATCTTAAGCTTTGCTGGGTACATCTGGTTTGCCTGAAGGAATAAATGAAAAATACTGACTTGTGCTAAAAGAGAGGAAATAATTCTGTAGTGGGAGTCTATGGTGAAAAGCATTCCTCTCCAAACTGTAATTTTAAGATCAACCACATGATAGTGCTTTATACGATCACTATGATAGTGCATGGAGTAGTTTCACTCATTAGGCTGTGGCATTTTTTTTCACAACATTATTTTTTTCACAACGCAGCACTTGTAAGGTTGCTTTATGGCAGTGGTTTGGTATAAAGCCCTCAGGATGTGTATGTGCAAAACTATTGACAAAATGAGGTACTATTTGGGTACAGGGCTTGTTTTTCTAGGAAGACAAACAGACTTTAAAGTCTGGTTCTTCATGACCACATAGAAAACAATTACATGAAACTTTTCAGCCAGGCAAACTTTATACAGTAACAGAACTGTCTAGTCTATTAATGTCCCATAGCTTAATACAATGGGGTGCTGTACAGAAAAAACAAACTCTTATCCAGTGAATTATTAAATGTTTAGAAGGAACAAGGAACAAACATATCAGGAAAGGACTGCAGAATTAAGCAGTCTGCAAAATACAAAAAGATCTCTGCATATGAATACAAAACTACTGAAATACTCTTGCCAGTAGCAGAAGTGCTGCTGTTCTAATCAATTCCACATACTCAGTTATACCATTTCTGTCAAATACACTCATTGGAGCTCCCTACAGTTCTTAGAAGCTCTTAGAAGAAGATGATATAAACAGTTTCTTCATGTCTGAAGCTCATTAGCCACAAAAAACATCTGAACTATGGGTTTCTTTTCCACAAGAAAATTGCATTACATTAAATTGGATTCATGAAGTCCAATTATACTTTGTTATGCAATCCTGCTTCAAACTTCAATACCAAGTGCATTATTTATTCAAAACCAGAAAGAATATCATTGTTTCAATTTTTGCAATATGCTTGGATTTGAGATTTATTTTTTTAAGTTGTATTTATGGAAAACTGTATGCAAATTAATACAGCTGCTCTGTACTGTTACAGGGCATATTATAAGGGTATGCAGGGTATATAAAGTATTATTCCCTTCTCAGTGCCTTAATGTTCAAACGTCTCCCTCATTTCATATTACATGTCTTTTCAAATCCTGAAATGTTACTGCTACTCACTGTGGAGTGGCAAACAACATCAGCTTTAGAATCCTGTATAGTGATTTTATAAAAATTCTATTTTTTTTTTCCCAGTCAAACTATTAAAAGCAGCAACTTGAATAATACCGTGAGATTTCTCTCTAAAGATCAGATCAATTTTTATCTGTTACTACATCTTACAATATCACATTGACAACACATTCTGAAATAACATATTGGGAGAGGACAATTGACTACATTGTTCAATTAGACACAAAAAAATCAGCAGAACCTTATCCAGGTCACATATTGGCTGTTGAGACTTAGTGCCACAGGAAGCCACTGCAATCTTTACAATTTTTCAATGGCATGGTCCCTATTTGATTGCTGTGATCCATTGAAAACATTAAAACACAGTTTTGGCAAACTCATTTTCAGTGAAACAGTTTAGGGGGTGTACATATGTGCATACATGTGAGACAGGCAACTGTGCCCACCAGCTACAGACAAGCAGGAGTTTTTCTCATTGAACTACTCAAATGTCCTGTACTTCTCTTTTTCATATAAAGACAGCATTCTTCATGTAAAATTCATACTCTTTACACAGTAGGGTCCAGTCACACTATCAGTAAGTCATTTAAGGGCACTTTACTCTTAATGATAGGAAGATGCTGTTCACCTCAGCAGCTTAACATTTGTTTTGTGATTGAAAAGATGGCCAGAACTGAATTAAGATATATTTTGGGCTATACAGAATATAACTATTATTAGGAAGCATTAGTGTTTTCTGCTTTTCAGATTCACAGAGGAAACAATCATTAGTTTTAAATACTTCTTTATTTATCCTAACTCACTATAAAATGCTTGGGAAAAGTTGATGCAAAAGTACTGATATTTTTTGAATGGAACATTGAGTTTCAGCAAAATTAACATTTATCTTCTTAATATGATAAGAGAAGTAAAAGGATGCATATTTTAAGGGCTTTAGCTTTATGATATGAAGACTAATTTGAGAAGAAACTAACCTCAAGGAGGAGAAAAGAACAGGGTTGTCTGGAAAGCTGAAGAAGGCTGTGTGTTAAGAAAATTTCAAGTTCCTGACTTGCTGTGGTGCAGTGTCTAAATTTCAGAGATAATTTTTTCTTTATCAGTGCTCTGGTTTTGAAGACTGCTACTTGTTTCCACTCTACACACTCCCTCTCCTTGAAGAGACATTTAGAGATACACGCGGAGTCAAAAAATAACGTTTTTTGCAGTTCTTGTGTTTCAAGGGAATTTTTTTTCTGTTCTTTTTTCAGATGTTCTGATTTCTTACAAAAAGTTTTGACAAAAGATTCTCAAATGAATTTTCTGTACTTCCTATTCACACATCCCACTCTCGTGTACTGTTGAGGAAAGTCTATTTTCTTTAACTCACTTTTCTTTGGAGTTGATTCTTGAAATCCTATGCATTAGCTTTTCTAGAGCATTATCCTATATAGTTTTAATGAATTTCAATCAATCTTCAAATGTGCAAATTAGAATTCATACTTAGTCCTTTGCCTAACATTGTGTGAAGAGTGCTAGTTCTGACACCTTGAGCTTTTGAGTATTTGTAGCCATGCTTTGTTTCATTCAGTATTTAAGGCTGACAGAAGCAAATCAAGGGAATGCAAGTAAGTTAATTGAAAATGGTGTTCATTATCACTCAGGATTGATAATATTCAGTATTTCCATGATATATATGCAATCGGAGCAAAAGATTGCATAAATTATAAACAACACATCAGAAAAAAGCTGAGTATCCAGTGACCTATTTGGAGTCTACTGCCAGCTGTAGGTATTCAAAAAATTGTGCATTGAAATGATGGAACATCATGAGTATATAATGTACTTTTATGAGTACATAATGTACTTTTGGTCTCCCCCTTCTCTTAAGTGTTTAGAGAATTAAGAGGGCTAGAAAGTTATCATCAGCATCATCTGTGTGAAAGCTCAGTTTCACGTATTTGTCTTATTGTGTCCAGGATCTAGAATCTTAAGTAAAACAGCTAATATTGCAATATTTGTGCCATAGTTAAGTCAGAACTATATACAATACTCTTCTTATTTCCAAATTATATTGAAAGGACTTTGCATTTAGGTGTCTGAGAACTACTGCATAGCAACACAAATTTTCTCTGCCAGGAGAGTTAAACTTCTAATAAATTAATACTGATTAGTAGCTGTTCTGCCAGCTGAGGCATCAGAAAAGAAAGAAAAAAGAAAAAAAATAAAGCTGCTACCTAGAGCTATTTCATTTACAAGAGTACAAGAAGAAGAACAGTGATCCTTAACAGCTCTGAACCATCCCAGCTGATGTGGAAGCTAATTCTGCATAGCTCCTATCCTACGTTTTATAACCACAAAATATAGAATCCTTGTTTGGTAGATTTATTCTCTGGGAAGACATTCATAGTTCCCACCAAAATATTGTTCCTTATTCATTTCTTCATAAAATTAATTTATTTTATATATGTTTAACAATGCTTTGAGAGAACAAGTAACAAAACAAATATTACCATCCATGTCCTTGTGTAGGGTCATCCAGAAGCACACGAATTATGTATAAGAAACAGCTTAATAGCTTAAGTGAAAAATTGAATAACCGTATTCTCAGACCTATTTTGAAAGGAACAGAAAGAAATTTAGACTGTTTACAGTTTCATTCACTTTTAAGGTAAAACTAAAAGGAACTAAAATAGCCATGATAGAACAGAGCAAAGGTCTATCCAGCCTGTACCTGACATTGCCCTTTGGCAGAAAAATATATGAATATGCCTGTCAGATGCACATAAAATACACTTTTCCAACTTCCAGAAATCTCTGGATTGAGATTTGATCCCTTTTAAAGTGGAAATCTAGACAGTTGTTTTGCTTGAAAGCTATTCTAAACCATCTCTTGTTCCTTGGATCTTTTGTAGTTTTACAAATTTCTTCTCAAAAGGGGAATCAGAATGACATACAGTATTTGAGATGCAAGATACAGTAGCATGAGGAAGACACACTTTCAACCACAGGCAGAAGATATCCAATGGCAATTATTTAAATATTAATATCTGACAGTCTTTATGTAGTAGTTTCTCATACAGAATACATTAATACTGTCCTAACATAAAATATTAAACTGTAGATATTTAATGTTGAAGTTGCATAATTAGGAATCCAAAAATCAGGATATCTGAAAGTCATGCTGAATGCACAACTTTAACTGATTCAACAGCTTCTTCTATGGACCATATGAATACCGAAATGTTCTGTATAATAGATCTCAAATACTAAATACTATCACAGAATATTACATTATGTCTTGCAAACCATAGGTTTACTGCATAGAGAAAGGATTCCTCCAAAGGAACCCAGGTGGACAGTTGGTTCTGTCACACAGGCATTTTAGTTTGATGCTAATGGGAGACATTGAATACTACAACAAAACTTGATTGTATTTTAATGAAGCTTTGGAGTCATTGGAGGATTAGCCTTTCAATCCTCAGTCTTGTTATTAGTCTTAAAATTAATGAGGGAAGGCAATCTTAAGCACTATTTTTTTTCCAGTCATGTGAACCAGGAGTCCAATTCTGTAGAGCTGAGAGGCCTTCTTCCAAAGCAGAACATTAATGACTAGCTCTCACATGGATCTTATTTCCTTTGCACCGAGTATATTTTATTTTTGAATTGCAAGTACGGTATCAAACCTGCTGAACTCAATATAACTGTTTCTATGATTTGGGAATGACAATCTCATCAAGCATACTCAAATTTATGTCCAAACATGTCCTGTGAAGCTGCAGTTATCACACAAGAACTGGGTGAACTTCTGCAGCATTTCATCATCTGTAAGCTAAGGGTTAAAATCCTGTGCTTAGGTCTTCGCCAGGAGAAGTCCCACAGCTGTTACAGTGTGTTGCTATCCTATTATTTGACCAAAAAGTGTTTTTTTTTTTCAACTATGCTATAATCTTGTACATTTTTGAACTGTTGGTGAAGAAGACACAAATTCTTTGTCTATGCTAATGATTTTATGGAAGACTTCTGAAAGGTTACTGTAACAATCAAGCCATTAGAGAAAAGAGCAGATAACCGAAAAACAAAAGAAGACAACAAAAAAGCACACGGAATTCTTGTTTCTTCTGTTCCTTAATTCTGTAAATGTTTATCTTGATGTTAAATGCCTCTTTTTTGTATTGATAATGGGCCAACTTCTCATAATTGTTTGAATTTATTGTTGTCCTAAATTCCGAAAGAAAACAGTGCTTTTATGATTTCAAAAACAAATCAGTACATAGCACTCATGCTCCTGGCTGCTGCCTTAAATGTTAACTCTCAAATCTTGGTCTTGAAAGATTGAAAACTGCTTACATATTCAATATTAAAATTCTCCATACTATAAAATTCTCTTCCATACTATAATTGAAAGTGCTTCAGGTTCAGAATATCTCAACTGGGCTGTTTCCCATAAAATGAGGCATGGTTTTCACTCCTTATAGGCATTTGTGGAAGGCCTCTAGGCATGACAAAGAGCATATATAGTAATCTGGGTTACATGGACAGGGCAGACAATAGGATCTGTCTATGATAGGAGTGTGGTTCGGGCATTACAGAAGTAATGTAGAACAGACTTCAGGTGTATCTTCTGCTTCAGCTTCTGGATATACCCTGACAGAGGGAGTGCATTTGGTCACTCCTGCTAGAGCTGTAATAATTCATGTAAGTAAATATTTGCAGGTCAAAACATTCTGTAGCCTCATAGTTAGGGATGTCATCTATGAGCTGGAAGAAACACATTTGTTCCACTGTTATGGAGATCTAAGATTTCACACCAGAGGAGGAGGAGGCAGTCATCAGAAGGCTGGAATTTAAAATAGTTTTTCATTTATTACTTTCTTACAAAGAAAGTATTTCATACTTCTGGTTTGCTGGTTGACTATTTTGGTCCTGTACTTTACATAAACTGCTTGGTTTAATTTCTTTTTCCTTTTTTCCATTCACAGATTGTTCAAATAGCAGAGTCAGCTTTGATATTGATGCCTGAAACTTGTATTCAGCTATATCAATCATATGCTGTTATGAATAGTTTAATGAGATTATAATTCTACCTTGTCCCTGTAAGCGTAATGTTACATGTGTTGTCTTCTTCAAAAGAAGAAATTGGCAAGAACAGTTCCAAATCTGTTTGTTTTCTGAAGTAAATGTAACTATATAAAACTGAGAAGGAAACATCAACATTTGAACAGGTATCTTCTATCTTTTTGCCAGCAGTTTTAAGTATGAAGTAATAAAATATCTGATCAGGTATAATGCAATTCTTTTTTTATTATTACTTTTTCTTATAACTTCTTGGTACTACCACTACAAGCATTTTCAGAGATAATTCTCCAGTCTGAAAATCTGATCTACCTCAAAGCAGGGCTGATAGGGACAACAGCTGAAAATTTTACTATCGCTTTCCATTTTTATTTCCTAATAAATCTCCAACGCTGCTGGCTTTTAGCAAAGTCATCTCAGTAGCAATTGGCTTTAGGAGTTAAATCAAAATATGCTGTTAATAATTCATATCCTGATGACAGTTATCTGTTTTATACTGTCTCCAGTGAATTGAAAATTCACTTATTTTTTCCTTTGAGAGTTATTATAAGCTGTGTGTGATCTTGGCAAGTACAAGCAAGTCACAAAAATGTATTTTACTTATTTATTTGTAGCTGGCTGACACCTTTTTGAAATGTCTTTTGTGTACTGTTTTAATTTTATTATAAACTTGTTTACAGAAGGTTGAGTGGTAGCTAAGCTGAAATCAGATGTGGATGGCCTTATTTTACTAGTTCATAAAAATGTGTTCGGAACTGGAATAATGAATGAGGCAGTTGATATTTCATGCCTGTTTCTGGTCTAATTAGATTGGTATTCTATCAGAAAAAAGAAATCATATAAATTCTGGACTAATAGCACTGGAGCATGGGATATTACTTCTCACTCTCTGATCTTCTTAACCTACTTGTGAAGTCTTGGACTCATGAAAACTTTGCAGAACATTTGTAATTTGATATAATACTGTCTGAAAATTTGAGAAAATAATTCAGTAGAATCAGTAATGACAGGAAATTGATACACAATATGTAAAGGAGGGTTTTCAGTGTTCTCGTTGAAACCTAAGATCTAAAGGGCCAAATCTTTTTTCATCAGTTCCCTGATACCTAACATAATCCCCAGGAGGATCAAACAACAGTTGCTTCTCACTCCTTATTTCAAATAAAATTCTATAAAATTCCTTTTCCTTAGCCTCATTTTCCTAATGGAGCAGAGATGTCCTAGAATAGTAACTTAGGACAATTCCCTTAATATAGGTAGCCAGAAGTTAAGTGTTTGGCAAAGTAATGGCCATGAATTCATAGCAGCTAACTATCTTCAGGTTTTATTATTGTGCTGCTTATGATAAAAATGTCTGTTTTTAAATGTATGCTCTTCAGTTCTTCCATCAAAATATATATTTGTAAAAAGGTTTTTGTTTTCATTTTTTATTAAGATCTATGTAGAGGAAAAAAATTCCTACCTTTATCTCAAGCAAGTATGTATCCATAACATTCCTATAATATCTGTGAGAAGAGTTATAATGAGTTTGGTCTCATAAAAATCTGTTTTATGGACTAGTTCACGGAACTAAAAAAACCTATTTACTGCTTATAGCTTCCCAGATTGTTTTCTTAGCCAGGAGTAATACTCTCTTCTAGCTCAGTTTGCTTTTCTGTCTTATCTCTTACTCCATTATACACTATATGAACCCTCTTGGATCAGCTTCCTGGATGTATGTAAACATACATTTCTTAGTTTCTCCACATAATTGTCTTCTGTGATGAATTTAAATGTGAACATCAATGACAATACACTGCTAAATTGGAATATAAAGTTACTATATTCATGAAGACTGAGAATTTGTTAGAAATTCTCTACCAGTTTCCTTACCAAATCACTCTTTTTTAGTTTTTGTACAAAGTTTGATGCTTAGTTAGGAGTGTTCAATAAAATTAAACAGTACTGCTAAAGCACCTAGTTTTTTGTTCTTATACTCAAACATCTTTGAGGTGTTTTGCTTTCTTAGAAGTAAGGTCAAGCAACAATCATTGATAAAGCTGACATTACCATGATGATCATGCTCATTACCATAAAACAAGAAAATCTTTTTTAATTTTAAATACTTTCTCAGTGTTACAGAAATAATATAAAACTGATTCCTGTGGGGCAAAAAAAAGAAAAACCTGCTGAGAAGAAAGTTAATAACTTTGCTGTTGCCATCAATGGAATTAGATTCTAACCGAATTATTACTATATTGCTTAATAGAAATTAATCCAACTGCTTACTTGATCTTTGGTTTTTGATGAAGAAGAGTTTTAGTCTCTCTTTAAATGTGTTTTCATTCATATAGAATTCAACTTGCACCCTGAAATATAAAAAGAAGGATAAGAATTGAATAAGGAAGACAATAAATTATCATTTTTTCAAAATAGCTTTCCCTAATCTTTCTGTATGACCAGTGGAACATTTACTATTCAGCCAAAGGCTCACTCAGATTTCAATGACTTAACATTAAAAAAACTGGAGATAGATACATACATAATTTATCTCCTTTACATCCAGATCATTTTCATAATACCAGAACACTCTGCACTGGAAAAGTTGGAAGCCTCTATGTTTTTAAATTTTCAATGCAAGATTACTTTCATATCTGCATGCTTGTAAGGAAGATTTCATTGATGTTCAGGTTAAATCTTCCATCTCCATTTAACTATTTCTGTAAAGTTGACATTGTAATGATATTTTTTCTATCTTATTGGTGTATTTGTTAAACACTCATGTCTGAGAGTTCACCTTTAATCAAGTACTCCCACCCAAAACAAACCATTCTCTGAACTCCATTTTTTGTCACAGTAAAATACTGAGACCTGAGAGAAAAATTATATTGCCATCATCCAACGTTGTACAGAAAACAGTTCCCCTTCCTATTTATGCTACTAAAACAACAGTGACTTCCTCTCTTCCTCACAATTTGCCCAGACCTCTTTCATGTCTCTGTCCCTCAATTCATTCTAAGCACAACTCTTGCAACAGTGGTCAAACTACAAGGGAAAAGAACAGCATTGTGGAGTACACTAATCATACAGAAAAAATTTAAGCAATTCCAGAGCTGCGCTGCCTACCCTAACATAAATGCAGCATTAGCTTCACTTTCACAGAAGTCCTTCCTAGTTCAACTAATTGAACTTCTCTCACCAATTTCACTTATCCAATAACTAATCCTCATTCACTTTACCCCAGCACAATTTCTGTTCCTTTTTGAGAAGACAGTACTTGGTTTGGGAACCACCATACTACTTCTAAAGGGACAGCATGAAAGAGAATAAGGAATTAAACTGCTGCCTGTTCAAAGAGTGGTAGAAGATCTTTAAAATTCTGTGCAATGAAATGTTTGATGAAGTTAAGAGTAAATCCTATCATATACTAGCTTTCCTGCCCTACCTGGCTCTACTTCTTTTGAGATAAGATCTTTAAACATTTTGTAATAAAGGGAAGGAATGCATCTCTGTTTCTCTTTTTAAATTAAGAGTAGCCACAAGTGCATATTTGGTAGAGTTTGAGCTCATAGGGATGCCCTAGAAATTCCCACCAACCTAGAAGAAAAGCCCATCAATTAACAGCCTAATTTTAAGCTTTGATTGGGGTTAAACAGAGTAAGAGTTATGATATTCAAGACAGCAGGAGTTATTGGCATTAGCAGAAGTACAGCTTAAATTATTGGTAATATAAAGGAAAGTTATGGAAACATGTCCAATGGTTAATTACAAGGTGAGAAGGTTCATGAAGGCCTGAGTTTTGCTTCAGTTCTTTTCACAGAATCACAGAACTGTAGGCATTGAAAGGGACCTATTAGGGCTATAGAGTCCTACCCCTTGATAAAGCAGGTTCCCTATAGTAGGTTGCCCTAGGAAGGCATCCAGATGGATCTTAAATATCTCTGGAGAAGGAGGCTCCACAGCCTCTCTGTGCAGCCAATTCCAGTGCTTTGTCACTCAAACAGTAAAGAAGGTGTTCCTTGTGTTTGTATGGAACATTTCCCAAGGTATTTACTGTCACTGCATTAGTGACAGTTTTAGAGAGAAACAGTTCTTGCATTTTGGCAGGTGCAACACGATAAATATATATACATAATTTTCAAGGATATATTTCAGTAGGTAAACAAAGTGGCATAAGCATCTGAAGTGAAGGATCTTATTTAAAAGGAGTGAGTACAGTATTGGTGATCTTTTTTTACATGATTTAAACTAATCCTAGATTTTAGGTAAGAAAATTACAGTCATCATTTACAATGAAAGAACAACATGTTAGCAGAAAGCTGTGAATTAATGATACTGTGGAAAGAGGATGTGGGAGCTAATCAGACTCCTATCACTGCTGCTAAGGACTGCTCTGATAGCCCTCTAGCAGCTGTCTGCTTCTGCTTCGCTGCCCTTAGCAACCAGTGCTCACAGCAGACTGGAATTCCACACTGCAGTCGTTTCCATGGCAAAATGTATTACAAATGCTGCTAACACCACTCCTATGGCTCGATTCTTCCTTCTTCCTCTGATTATTTTTGAAATTCACTAAAAACTATAGTAACCTTCTACATCTGCAGGAAATGCATTATCACACACATGATCACCATACAATTCCATCATACTCTGGCTACTGGACAGAGAGTATCTCACTTATTTAGTTGGCTATTTACTAAGAATAAATGGCTGAAGGAGCCACAGGTAGTGATGAGGATAGGAAACTTTGGATACTGTGCTTTTGTTCAATATTCTCCTTTTGATTTTTAGTATTTCAGACGTTGTGGTCTTTTTTACCCCAAGTGTTTACTCTTTTCTGTATCTTTCCTTCTATAAACTGTAATGTGGAAAATGAGAATTTCTGGAATAGAACGCACATTCTGATCCTCACTTGTGGTGTTATTATTGCCTCTTATGAAGAGGGAAAGCCTTGTAGAAGCTTTTCTGGACCCGTTACAAACTTGGTAATTAGGATGTTTCAAGTAAGTGAAATTCATGTACTACTTATATGAAACCTTGTTCTATTGCAGCAGAAACACTAGTTGGAATTTGGATCCAAGCAGTGGAAGGGTAAAAGTGTGGTTCTGGTGCTGACTGAATGAGAAACATGCAGGACAGACCGACTGTCTGTGTATGTAGATGACCTGACCTGTGGAATAGCTTTAGTTTTGTTCTGTGTTTGTGCTGTTCTTCATGTTTTTCTTCTCCCTCTACCAAGGCAGTCACAGTTCAGTCCCCGGTCAAAAAGTAAGTCAAGCTGATGGATTAATACGCTTATCCTTGATGATAGACAGAAATACTTAATGAATGCTGGACCTTGTATAGATAGCTAGTCGATCGTTTCAGACTTTTTCTATGTGGTAGGAATTGAATGTTCATGAAAATCTGACTAAGGGAGTTAAAGAACAGGTCAAATGCTTTACTGACTCTTGGTTCAGCTTTACTGAAGATGCACAAATACAAGTAAATGTATCTCTGGCACAAATAACTGAAATGATTTGCTTCTCTTGAAAACATAATGCTGGCTTTAGCACATGCAGGTGGTTCGTTTTCTACAGCTTCTGTTTAAAATTATATACCCTTAATAGTGGTTTTCTCTATTTGAAAATCAGAGAATAGTGATGTCAGTGGAATCTTTCAATCACATCTTAAGAGTACCTAAAGTACAATTATATGTTATACACTGTTAATCCAGTCAAGATGTAATTTGAGTAGTACATTTTAATATAATATAAAATATAGTCACAAAAACACATCAAGGACACTAACGCAAATTCTTCTTTCTCAAGACTGTAAATCACTGGAACCAGTTCCTTGACTATGACTGCATGTTTGTCACTGCTATTTATATATGCAACTCTAACTCCTTAGTCATGTTTTACAGTAGTTACATTATCACCTTGCATCCTCAATTTTACATTTTTTCTCTTTTGTGTTAGAAAGTAGTAACTGTGGCAGAAATAATTCCTGCAAAAATGAAAGTATGATTGGGATTTCTCACTATGTGCATGCTAAGAGATGAAAATTTTCATGTTTACTGTTTCCTGATATTGGAATCAGGTTGGTCCAAGTGGAACCAAATTAAAGGAAACTATATCTATTAACTGAATCTTTTTTTATGGGAAGGGAAATTTCATGTTGTCTTTCCTGCAAGAAGAAACTTGTATAAACAGTCCTTTTTAATTGGGATTTTCAAATCCAATGTATGTGAAATTGTGTTAGATGTCAAAATTTAAAAGTTTATATAATATGGTGTAGATAGCTGCTTCAAAATGAAGACATTTCAGTGCAAAATGGATGTATTTTTTTTTAATTCACTTCTAGAAAAAGTCTCGTGTATTTTAATGATGACTATCTTGGGTAGATGCCCTCCTTTATGAAGTTTTTCAAGTTCAGACATACTCAGTACTCTGATTTGGTTAGAGCTTCACAGAGAAGTCATCCTATTAACACAGTGTACTTTCCAGGCGAAAAAGCCAAAGTTAGATGGCAGACACTTCTACAACTACAGCAATCTATCATTCAGTCTGTACTCTCTGAGGATACAGAGTCATGAAGCCTGCCTGGGTAAACCACATATGTTGCATGAAGGAATTAGAAATTATTGTTCTTAGAGTATTTTCTACTTTTATATTATTTTGTTTTACTGCTACATATTGAAAATAGAGAGTTTGAAGCTATTTCTCACTGCTTACCAAACTTCTGACTGCGTAACATTTCCAATGAATTGCTACCTCAGTAAGATTGTCTCCTCTCATTTTCTCTAAATAAATAAATAAATAAAGTCTTAGTAAGTACACTAAGTAGTTACATTTATATCTACACTCAAGCTCTATCCTAAGCACCACCCCTGGCCATGCAGCATGTTTCAATTGTTTATAGCCTTACATCTCTTCACATTCTTGCTCCTACTTCCTTCTTTGGTCCTCTGAGATCTCTCTTCTTCATGCTCAGATGACAGTTTACATCTCATTCCAATTCCTCCTCCTCTCTATTCCTCCATTCAAATTTTAAACTTCTTCCTATTTCTTCATAGATTGTTCTATACTACAGTCCCTTACAGAGTTCACCTTGTCCTGCCTTCTTTACACTACAGAAATTCATTTTTTTTCCACCTGAAAACATGGCTTCTTTCCTTTGCTGCAATTCTCTAAATCGACTTTCACTTTCAATACACCTTTCCTCTTTACACGTTCATCACCTGGAAATGTAACTAAGAACTCTGTTTTCCTTCCTCCTAAACCTTTTCTGTTTTCCATTGGAAACTACTTTTGGTGAAAGTGTCTAATTCTCTTATTTTTACTTTAGCCCTTTCTTTAGCAGAAGTAATTCATTCTCTCCAATAGCACTT